TCTCGAAAGCAACTTTTATTCCAGAAACACACCAAGCTTCAGCGAATGCAAACAACGGAAAGCGGAACCCCAACCATCCAGGTATTGTGCTTTTCTTTCGAAAAGTTTAAAGGTGGCTTCAGAAAGTTGGATTCCAGTTTCGGGCTCAGTTCTCCTGAACGTTATAAATATTTTCTGGATGAAGACTAACGCCACAATGTGTTAATATACTCATCATAATGCCTCTTTACCAAATGGAAACACACGTTCGACGGACACATTCACGACCGATTTGAAAGATCATCAGCTTTCCAAAGTGACGTGCAGATCCCCTTGAGTAGGAAGGTTGTGAAATCGAGATGACGCTCTTCACTAGATACGGTGTCTGACCGCTACTTTTTGTCCCGTCTTGTTGCCCCTTCCCCCCGTCACGTCACGGCGACATTCTGCTCAAGCTGATATAAGTACCAGTGCATGGTCTTCCAAAAAAGTTCGATTAACTTCTAATCCACGAGTATGGAGAAGATGTAGTCTCTCAGATGTATCGGAAGTGCCGCTCTCATAGGGGCACGCTCCGCGATTAGGCACGCTAATCTGTTCTATCCATGAACGTAGTAGGCAGGTGGGCAAACGTTAATTTAGCGCCCCTTTTGCGGGAGAAACACGGGCGCAGTTGCGGCAGCAGTTGCAGTCATTGGTGCTGGAACAAGTGCAGATAGGTTCCTAAAACTCGTCCAACGCGCCCCTTCTCTACGCCATGATGGGATGTGGCTGAAATAAGAGTTCCGTCTGTTGGGAGTTTCTGTTGCTTTCTTTCTCGTTTCCAGAGCGCTCCACCTCCAGCTTCATTCTGAACGCTCCTCCACACCTATCTTATCCCAGGGCTTGCCTCACTGGTTGGTCGATTTCAAGGTTGAGTAAGCAAGAAGAGTTGAATAGCCCGAACATCACATCATCTCCGTTTCGCAGAATCTTTTGATGACTTGGGCGATATGGGCCATGGAATATAGCAGTTTTTGGATTGGGCTGTTGAATTTCCTGCAGGAAGCATCCAGTCAGAATTCGGCTAAAATGAATAAATGAGTCCTTGAATTGAAGAAAGTGTCCCCGCTCTCCCGCCTGTGTACGTTATCCATGTTGTTGTCGTTCTTTCTTCGATCGTCTTTACTAGAGGTCCATTCCGTTCAATGACTTTCATGTATACCATGGAAGCTGTTCCCTAGGACAAGATTTACGCGAATCTCGAGTTAGCGAGCACTTGTTTCCCGGATTTCTTCCTCTCTTTATTTCAGTCGTTTGCCCTTTCAATTTCCTTCAGAAATCGAATGTTTACTTAGTACTGAGATGGAATTTCAGAAGAAAATTTCTAATCGGAACTCTGTTTGAACTCACAGCAAGCTCAGGAAATGGTGTGGTTCCAAGAGGGGACAGAAAAGATAATAAGTCGAGCGTGGAGTCCACACCGAAGAATTGCATTTTCTAAGTTCCCGTAGCAGTAGTATAGCATACTTTTCTTCCTTGCCAACCTCTATCCACTTTTCCTCCGGTCTGGGAAACAGACGAGTTTATGTTTAGTGGCAAACTGCGTCTACCTTGATGCTCGCCCCACCTAATAAATCAGTTGAACTCCTCTTTCCCGACTTCTATCCTAATTTTTCTCTGTCTACGAGACTGTTGCTGAACTGATCATGAGGTTTTCTGGACAAACTCAGCCCATTTCGTGCGTCTACCCACAATAACGGTTGACCTTTTTACGTGTACCAACATCTCTCCTCTTTTTTGGTCTCTAAGACTTCTCGGAGCCCTTTTCGGGGGCGGGTGCAACAACTCGGGATGATGGGTCCCCAATACACAGCGTCACTACTCTGATCGATGACGCAGGAGCCGACTTATGAGGTTCCCAGAAAACGTGTCCCTTTTCGGCGGCGGGCGCAGCAACTCGGGATGATGGTCCCCAATACACAGCGTCACTATTCTGATCGATGACGCAACTCTATAGGGGAGCGTCCGGAGGCGCAGTTTAGGGGTCCATCCCCGAGCTGGGGCTGGTTGCACCCGGCGCCAGCGTAGAGCAGGGTGATCTAGATGAGTTATGCGGCCAGAACACGAGCGATATGGATGTGTCAATAACGGCTCGTGTCCCTCATTGACAATGTGGCTGCAAAGATTTGCGCCATGTGGCTCACACCTTGAAAAATCGTTTCGTGGGTGTTTGCGAATTCCTACTTAAATTTTCTTCTCGCTGTAGCTCTGTAAGCTGCCAAGTTTACCACATCAGCGGCAAGGACCAGTGGTGAAACTCTAACAGTTGATCCTGTATTCCGAAAAAGCATGCCGTTTCACAACAGCCTCCCAACTGCAGTCTATTTTTAGTTATTCAGCGGTTACCTCTGGGCGTGCTAAAAAGGGCGTCCTTAGAGTTACGATTACCATAAGTACCTCTAGCCCGACCTCAGTGCCCTTTTCAACTCGATTTTCCGGCTTTTGGAAGTGAGGCATTCACTTTCCGGTTTTTGGTTAGCAACAAATCGCTGGTAGGTCTCATCGTCAGTAAAAGAAAGGCTTCCAATAGATATCATCATCTGCACTTATACATACATATGCGAATCTCAAACAATCCAGCCAGCATTAGAAGAAGAGAAGGCTTTAAAAAAGCATTTGAGGCTTTATTACAGGGGAAGCTTCTCTGGTTTTCAGTTATGGCAGGTTTCTTCAGTTTGAGTGTGAAAAATATTTCAGCAGCCCATATACTTCACGGGGAAGGGGCCGAAAAGTTGCTTTGCCTATGGCGCACATCATTGATTTTTCTGTCGGCACAGATGCCGGTTTTTTGGATGAATGTTTTACGGCAGAACATTCCTTAGGTGTGCCCTCAAAAGCAGAGGAACTCCCTCCTTCGCTGTCTCCACCATCGCTTATTTGGTTTGGCTTTGCAGCGTGGTATTTGAATCCGTTTTGAATGTAGGAAGGGAAGTGAATCATTTTTTTGTCCTCCCCCCCCCCTCCCCCTCCCCCCTGTACAATAAGTGAATGGTGGGAAGAGGCACCACCTCTGAAAAAACCGCGAGTTCGATCCCTGCCGAGGCTCTAAACCATGCCTTGCAAAAATTGCAAAAATGGTTCTAGTACCAGCGTCAGGCCCAGGTTGACAGGCCGGCTGATGAACACCCCAGTCACACAATATGTCTAAAGTCGAAAAAGAATCAGTGATAAGCTAGGACGTCACCCGGAAGTGGCGCGCAGAACCCCCGCCCGAGTTCTGTGGTCAGTATGCGAGGGCTACCGAGGAGTGAACGGCCTCGGCCAAAGAAGCTAGTTCGAATTGGGACTCTGAACGTAGGATCGCTAACTGGGAAGTCCCGAGAGGTTGCTGATCTGATGACGCGCAGGAATATCCAAGTCCTATGCCTTCAGGAGACGCGATGGAAAGGTGCTAAGGCCAGGGAAATCGGGGAAGGTGTCAAGCTCTACTACAATGGAGAAGACACCAAGCGGAACGGCGTGGCCATAGCGGTAGCGGAGTCGCTCAAGGACTATGTCTCCGCTGTGAACAGGATCAGCGATCGGATCATGGCTGTGAGGATAGACACGAAGGAGGGGTACTGGACCATACTCTCCGTGTACGCACCGCAAGCCGGGTGCCCCGAAAGTGATAAGGACGAGTTCTATCTGAGCCTGGACGAAGCCATAAGATCGGTTCCGGAAGATGATTACCTGACCATAGCAGGTGACCTGAATGGTCACGTCGGCAGTGACAGAAGAGGCTTAGAAAGAGTGCACGGAGGTAGAGGGATAGGAGGAACGCTGAGGGAGAGAGGGTTCTGGACCTGGCTACAGCCCACGACCTGGCAGTCTGCAGCACGTTCTTCGCGAAAAGGGAATCTCAAAAGGTAACCTACAGCAGTGGAGGGAGACAGACGGAAATCGACCATGTGCTGGTAAGAAGATCAACCCTCAAAACTGTGAAGGATATCAAAGTTCTACCCGGCGAAGATCTGGCTCCCCAGCACAGGCCCCTCCTGGCAGACATTGCGATAGACCTCCCCAAGAAGACAAGGGTAAGAACCGAGAGGAGAATCCGGTGGTGGAAGCTGCACCAAGCGGAGAAGGATGACCTCAGGCGAAAGATAATGGAAGTCGGTCTCCCAGATCCTAACGGGCCAATACAGCGGACTTGGGGCAACGCGGCTGAGACCATCCTGCGATGTGCCAAGGAGGTCCTGGGCGAGACGCGAGGTGGATTCAGAGGAGACAAGGCAGCGTGGTTCTGGAACGAGGAGGTCCAGCGAGTCGTGAAGCAGAAGAAGGAAGCATACAAGCGCTGGCAGAAGACCCGGAGCCCCGAAGACCTCGCTACCTACAGGAGTTGCAAGAGGCTCGCTAAGGCTGCCGTCGCCAAGGCGAAGAACACGGAGAATGGACGCCTTGTACGAGAAGTTGGAAAGCAGAAACGCAGAGAAGTTCGTCTTCAGGCTGGCTAAGGCCCGCCATCGTGCTACTCAAGACATCAGGGTGGTGAAAAGTGTAAAAGGCAGCGATGGTGTCATCCTAAGAAAGCCAGCCGAAGTCAAGAGGAGGTGGGAAGAGTACTTCACGGGGCTTCTGAACGAGGAGTTCCCCCACAAGAACGACTCACGGGCAGAGGCCACAGCTGGTCCCATCGCACTCTGGACTGAGGATGAGGTTAGGTGTGCACTTGGGAGGATGAAGGTTGGAAAGGCGGTTGGCCCAGATGGGGTGCCAATCGAGGCATGGAAGGCGCTCGGAGAGTACGGCATAAGGTGGCTCACCAGCTTCCTGAACAAGGTAACAGTGGAAGGAAAGATGCCGGATGCATGGAGGACAAGTACCATCGTCCCCATCTTCAAACAGAAGGGCGACGCGATGGACTGCTCCAACTACCGCGGGATCAAGTTGACTGCGCATACCATGAAGTTGTACGAGCGGCTGGTCGACTCGAAGCTGCGGGAGCTGGTCCCGATCTCCCAGGAACAGTTCGGGTTCATGCCCGAAAGATCTACAACGGATGCCATCTTCATCGCAAGGCAAGTGATGGAGAAGTATCGAGAAAAGCGCCGACCCTGCTACCTAGCCTTCCTCGACCTGGAGAAGGCGTTCGACCGGCTACCGCGAGCAGTGCTATGGAGGTCGCTCAGGGAACGAAACGTGCCAGAACACCTGATCTCGCTGGTGAAGGACATGTACGAAGGAGCCAAAGCAGCCATACGCACCCCTCACGGCCTAACAAAGGAGATAAACATCACGGTTGGGGTGCATCAAGGGTCAGCTCTGAGCCCCTTCCTGTTCCTCCTAACGCTCGATACCATGGTGAAGGGCCTCATGGAAGGACCACTGAAGACCATCCTCTACGCTGACGACATAGCTCTGATAGCGGATAGCAGAGAGGAACTTCAAGCCAAGGTGCAGAAATGGCAGAATGTCCTGGCAGAAGGCGGGCTCCGGCTGAATGTCAAGAAGACCAAGTTCCTGAGCTCCGAAGAGGGTGCAGAGCCGATCGTAGACGGCCATGGTGAGACCATCGAAAGAGTGGAGGACTTCCGCTACCTTGGGAGCGATCTGGCAGCTGATGGCAGTGTGGATCAGGCGGTGAAGGCTCGGGTCAACACAGCATGGATGAAATGGAGGGAGTCCACTGGAATCCTCTGCGATCGGAAGGTGCTCCAGAACGCTCAAAGGGAAAGGTGTACCGGAACAGTAGTAAGGCCTGCGATGCTATACGGCAGCGAGTGCTGGCCCCTGAACAAGAACCACGAAAGGCAGCTTCACTCCGCTGAGATGAGGATGCTGAGGTGGGCCTGCGGCTGGACGCGACTGGACAGGGTCAGGAAACGAGGATGTCAGAGCGGTCATGCAGACTGCCCCTGTCCAGCTGAACGGGAACAGCGTCTGCGATGGTATGGGCATGTGCTAAGGAGGCCACAGGATCATCCGATAAGAACAGCGATGGACTTCGAAGTGCAAGGCAAGCGACCGCGAGGAGCCCCAAAGAAGAGGTGGAGAGATGTGATCAAGAAGGATCTAAGTGAAGTCATGGCCACAGCAGAGGACGCCCTGGACAGACTAAAGTGGCGACGACTGACAAAGACAGCGGACCCTGCGACTGCGCGGGACTAACGCTAGGGAGAAGAAGAAGAAGGAATTTTCCTACCATTTATAATACATCTTCCTGCCCATCAAGGATCAAACATATGGAAATGGTTGCCATATCAAACACATAAGGAAGAAAGGTTTTCTGAAGATATTATATCTCGTAGTCATTCTATAGCAACGTTCTATCCTGAGAACAATGCAGTCGCTAATGTAAATAGGACAGTATTAGACTGACATGTAATCATCAAGCAATACGCATGTATGATTATAGGTTTAGAGGAGGTAGAGGCGAAGAAATTCCAAATGTTCCAGTGCCAGCGCCTGTAAAGCCTTTTTAAAGGGCATTAGTCGGATCGATGTCAGATTTTGCGAATCCAAATTCGCAAATTCGCAGTTACTTTGCGCTGTCATACCTGGCCCGTAGCCTCAGTTTTACACCTTTTCTGCTGACTTGGAAATTTCACTCTTTACTATTGGAAATCCTGCTACTATCTTGAACTGGGAACACTTCATTATTTATACGGTTTTTCATCTGTTCCGATTTTTTGTTTGCTGCGGGAACCACATAAATAATTCCAATAATTCCGCAGACTGTTGATGTTCAGTGCTTAGTTTTATGCAGCGATCAAAGGTAATTGTGTCGTATCGATTAATATTTCAAGGTTCTCTATGACTACACCGCAGTGTTAACTCACTTTGTAGGCATTTTGACGTTATTGATTGTGAATCTCTTTCAGGTCATTCTCTTGGCGATCGCTGCTCTCTTGGTTGGCCTAATTATCGGCAAATTATTCTGAGGTGTGCAGTACTTGTCCCCACATTCTTGGACCGTGTCAGTGTCAGTCCACGACTCTGCCTTGTACCCACTATTCCCCGTTACTTTCGTTTTTGTTCGACTTAGATACAATTTTAATACTCATTATAGTTCATTGTTCCTCACAGATAGTTTCGCTACAATGTAGTTTTTCTGCTTATACTACTTTTTTTGCTCGGTGAGTTTTCCTCCTGACAGTGAGGTTTGGGATAGTGCAGTCGTTGACGTTACGAATTACAAATCTCAGAAGTTAGCCCACATCACATTCATCGGTTGTTTTTCATCCGGTAATAGCAAATTTCTAGGAGACTGACATTTTTATTCGTGTTAGGTGGTTTACTTATCTGGCATCGTTTTTCTTCCGTCATATATACGAAGTTTATTGTCACGTAGAGTTGCGTGGGTATCGGTGACACTTTTCTGTGTTTCTGTATAATTCGCCTGCTTATGTAATTGTGCTACCAACAGTTTGTATATGTAAAATTCTATTTATTAAATGAATTTCGCATTTTAATGACGTTATACGTTGCGCTGCTCAGGGTTGACGCCCTTTATACCTTGTTCCGTATGATCAAGTTTCTCCAGTCAGTATGCTAGTTTTTGCAAATAGATTATTTTCCAGTTACTGGAATAGCTCAGAAGATGTCAGGCAAGAAGAGAAGAAATATTGAGACCACGGCGGAGGATCTCTCCGGAGTTGAATTTGAGAGCTCTGAGGAGGTGGAAGTGATTCCAACATTCGATGGCATGGGATTGAGGTACGAAGGGGAAGAGTTTTATCAAACAGAGGAATTTTTTATTCTATTCTCCGTTGTACTTGTTACAGGAACTTGAGAAACTTTCATTGACGAGAACATTACGGATTTATTTCTCCATTATTATATTCGAGTTCGGTCTCATCCTGCAATTTGGCTCGTTTCAGGGAGCCGCTCCTTCGTGGAATCTATTCGTATGGTTTCGAAAAGCCATCCGCAATCCAGCAACGAGCGATCAAGCCAATTATGAAAGGCCGCGATGTCATAGCACAAGCACAGTCCGGTAAGTAGTACTACTTGAATTGGCACTGCATTTGGTCAATAGGAGTACGTAATGATTGCTTACAGGTACCGGAAAGACTGCCACGTTTTCGATTTCGGTGCTTCAGTCGATCGACACGGATCTGAGGGAGTGTCAGGCTTTGATTCTTTCTCCAACTCGTGAGTTGGCTGTGCAGATTCAGAAGGTGAGTAACTTCCGATCAGAGATGGGTAAAGTATGGGAGTATCGTCATGATTCTCTCCCGCTTGCTGCTTTGTTGTGATAATGTAAAGGTTGCTAAGGATGCCACATCATGCTAGTGATGGGTAATTATTTTTGGTGCATTTCTGATGGGCTTTATCGTAGAATCACTTCCCGATCTTTTTACCCTTCACATCCCATATATGGTAGCTCCGGAAAAGAAGGCTCATAATTTGCAAAGGCTGACGATCTCATCGCTGTGTTCTCCGTATGTGCTATTGTCTTGCACTTATTTTCATTTCGTGACCGCACATTCAGAAGACGAATTGATTTTCGCACCGCGCAGTTTAGGGTAGATAGGTCACTTCCTGGTTTTTTTACGTCGAGAGGAGGATTTTTCTCGAAGTCGTATTCATCCGAGTGCTTTCTAAGGAGGATTTTCTCGAAGTCGTATTCATCCGAGTGCTTTCCATTTCCTTGGGTGCGCAGGCCTCGTCCAGATAGAGAACATAAAATTAATGATTGAGAGTAACATGAAACACGGAATTACAGGTTGTCCTTGCTCTTGGAGACTACATGAACGTGCAGTGCCATGCTTGTATTGGAGGAACAAACATTGGCGAAGATATTCGTAAACTTGACTATGGACAGCATGTGGTAAGAGTCATTCTCACGTAATAATGCTAATGTTGGACCGAATATCTAGGTTTAAAGGTCGATGAAAAGAGGTCATGGGGTTTCATACGGGAAATGGTTTCTGTTAGAGCTGTTCAGAATGAAGTCTTTAATTATTTTTTACATTTAAACTGTAAAAGTTTTGTTTTCAATTAAGGTCTCTGGAACCCCTGGTCGTGTCTTTGACATGATCCGTCGTCGCAATCTCCGCACGCGCTCTATCAAGCTGCTAGTTCTCGACGAGGCCGACGAGATGCTGAATAAAGGATTCAAGGAGCAACTTTATGATATCTACAGATATCTGCCACCTGGCGCACAGGTATACCAGCAAGATGTAACAAGAAGGCTGTATTTCACGTGCAACTAATCTTTTTTGTTGTAGGTCGTATTGCTATCTGCTACGCTACCTCATGAGATCCTGGAAATGACCAGTAAATTTATGACTGATCCTATCAGGATTCTTGTCAAACGTGATGAGTTGACATTGGAAGGTATCAAGCAGGTTCGTCTTCTCATACCACTAATCTAATTCTTATAAAGAAGTTACCATTAGCGACATTTTCACTTCATTGTATAATTGCTTTGTGAACAGAGGAAGTTCAGTCAAGATCATACACAATCGTTTTAGTTCTTTGTGGCTGTTGATTGCGAAGAATGGAAGTTCGACACGCTTGTGGATCTTTACGACACGCTTACCATCACTCAAGCAGTGTTGTTCTGCAATACTCGCAGAAAGGTATGATAAACCTTCTTGTTTCTTCGAATAAAATGCTGTAGCATCCTTGGGACAGAACTTCTACACCCATTGCCCATCCATCAATTTTTTCTTCAATCGGTTAAAACTCCCACTCCGTGCAGATTGACGCAGTGAGAACAGGTTGACTAGTGGGAGGGCAAACAAGAACACTAATTGTAAGCAAAACAAATATTACAAGAAGACAAGCGGTTACTCATAGAGTTTTTGTAAAGGCTATACGTATGTTATGAGGCGCTGATTTTTATGAGGATATGAGAAACCTTCAGCTAAACTATGTCTTATTTTCGAAATAATGAAAATAAAACGATTGGATAGCTAAACATCAGTCATCAGTTGATCTTTTTATTACTTTCCAAAGTCTCTGTCAGTTGTTTGCAATAAATTTTTGGTTTGTTAAAATCTCTACAATCGAATTCCACCCTCCATTAGCTTGGCAATGAGCGTTGTTCGTGAGACACTCCGTGTTATTATGGCTCGTCTTCCTTTTCCCGCTTTGCTTCAATTTCTTACAAGTGTGATGTAACGCTTCTATCTTTGTTCTAGGTGGATTGGTTAGCTGAGAAAATGAAGGAAGCGAACTTCACGGTGTCGTCTATGCATGGTGATATGGAGCAGAAGGAGCGTGAGCAGATTATGAAGGTATTGGGATTCTTAATGACTCATTATCATTTGATAGACTTGATTTACTAAGATTGTAATCTGATGTTTCAAGGAATTCCGAGCAGGAAACAGCCGGGTGTTGATTTCGACTGATGTGTGGGCCCGAGGTCTCGATGTTCCTTCAAGTTTCTCTCGTAAGTTATCTTCCAGAGATTGGAATCGTTTACGGTGCTTTTCGCTCAATTAATTGCTGCTTTTTTAGGTAATCAACTATGACCTCCCCAATAACTCGTATAACTTC